AGGAGTTCGAAACTAGTCTGGCCAACATGGTAAAACCCCATCTCTACTAAAAATACAAAATTAGCCAGGCATGGTGGTGCATGCCTGTAATCCCAGCTACTTGGGAGGCTGAGGCAGGAGAATTCGCTTGAATCTGGGAGGCGGAGGTTACAGTGAACTGAGATCATGCCACTGCACTCCAGTCTGGGCAACAAGAGCGAAACTCAGTCTCAAAAAAAAAAATAAAATAAAATAAAAAAATAAAAAAAGTCATAGCTAGCAATTTTCTGTTTGAGAGTCACCACCTAGAGGGTGAAGCCTTTGAGTGGATGAAAGTCTTCAGAAAGAATGTAGGGAGAAGGAAGAAAGGACCCAGGGCTAAGGAATTTGGACTTTACCCTATGAGAAGTGGGGAACCAATAATGTATTTGAAGCAGGGGCATGAGGGAACTGGTGAAGCCTGCAGGACTAAAGGGAGTGCCAGAGATGTCTGACAAGGTTGCTGCCCTCAAGGAACTAATTGGGGTAGGTGAGATAAATGTCTCTTGGAAAGTAATGGTCATGCCAGGTGTGATGATTAAGTAGCAGGTGTGTAGCACAGACAGTAAGGGGGCTAATTGTTTCCCACAAAGTAACTTGGAGTCCCTGTGGTTAGGGCCAGATGAGGGCTATTCAATCAATTTGCTTTTGTGGTAATCCTCAATAGAAGAGACTGCTCCTTGGGTGAGAAGACAAATAGACTTCTGAGTTCCCTTTAAAGGCTAGACACTTGGATAAGTAGAAAGGATTCTTAATAAAAGTGAATGCCTTTTATGGGACTTTGCAGTTTACAAAGCCCTTTGATGTCTGCTACCTCATTTCATTCTTTTAGCAAGTAAGTTAGAGGACATTACAGAGATAAGGAACTGAGGCCCAGAGACGTTAGAAGTTAATTAACAAGTTATGGAGCCAGTCTTCATGTCTGAGTCTTTAGATGCGAAGTTTGATTCTTTCATACTTCTCCAGTGGTTTGCAAACTGTGTTTCTTGGAGCCCTTCAGGGATGCCTTGGACTTGCAGGTGACAGGGAGGGGATGGGAAACATTCAGGGAGCAGGGTTTCTGCTCCCAGAGTCCTACCTCAGCCAGGACTCTCAGGAATTTTCAGTTTTCTATGTCAGCCTTTCTTGGAAGGTTTCCCCTAAGGAAGAATTTCCCAATGTGGAAAACCTACTCTATCCTGTCTTCAAGGCTATCTCTAGGTAGGCCTGTCCCTAAACCCTCCTCCAAAGTCAGTGTGAATTCCTGTGCTTAACCACATACAAGATCTAGCAAAACACTTCCTCTTTTCTAACCCTAACTCTTCAGCTCCAGCCCCAGCCTCTTCCCTCTGGATCTTGTTCTAGGTTGTGCTGGTGGTTCTTCTCAGTACAATGTCTGTTTCATTTCTGCCCCAAAACCCTACCACCTTTTTCTGGATTCCTAGCACTCCAGACACTGGAAGAAGCAGTATAAAAATTTACCAGCTTGGATCCTTTCCCAGGAATGCATTGTTGCTGACCCTGTGACCATCAGCTGGATGGTTTTAGTGTCTTCAAATCTTGATGGACTTGTATTTGGACACTTTGTGGCAGTGTTTTTCTGAAACCAGTGCATCTCAAGCATTTGGATCTAATAATTCCTTTGTTCTCAGAAATTGTACTTTCATTAAAACACTCCTTTGTCCATTAAGTTATTTTTTTTAAAGGGTACAGTTTGCCTGGATGTATCCAGTAGGCATGAGTTACAGATTAAAGACAAAGGGCCCAGGGGCAAAGGAAATAATTTTATTTCCTAATTATACAGTGACATTAGAAGTTAATATTTCTGTAGTTTCCCTTGCTGAGAACTGCCTAGAATTTAGATAACTTCCTGACTCACAAATTGTGAAACCTAGGCCTAAGCCCTTCTCCTTTTCTTAAATATTTATTGAGCACCTACAGTATAGGTGCAAAGCTTAGCTCTAGGCTCTATAAAAGATACAAAGATTTTAAGAAACAGTTTCTGCCTTCAAGCGAGTTAATGGTCCCAGCATGTGCCTAAGTAATACAAGGAGGAGGCAAGTGCTGAGGGTGGCCTGAAAATGGAAGTAATCAGTTTATTTCAGGGTTTCAAATGAGAACATTAGTATTTTGCTAAGTAACTTCTCTTTTATATCCTGCTCCAGAATTGTAGGGGTTGACGGCAGAATCCCACTGTGGATAGAGGGCCAGAAGCCAACTGGACAGAAGGTCTAGCAAGGAGAGCTGACCCTGGTAAATCTAGTTCCAGCTGCTGGTGTGGTTGATGATAGAGAGCTGTGGGCTCTAGAGGAATTCTGGTGCTGAGACAAACTGAGATATTTCAGTTGTGTGCTTTGCAAAATCTGTTTGATTGCCAGTAGCTCTTGAGCCCTTAGCCCCTGATAGGCTGGTCACTCACCAGATCCACAGCAGGGAGAACACAGGCTCTGCAGCCAGAGACTGGGTATAGGTTAATGCTCTCTTTCTCACTTCACTGTGTTGGTTGCTTAACTTCTCTTGCCTCAGGGTTCTCACACCTTGATGGGTGGTTGAGAGGGTGGGGGAGAGTGCAAGGAAAGAGCTTGGCATACAGTAGACACTCATTAGATAGTACCTCATTACTTTTGTTATGAATCCAAGGGCTTCATGGTGGGAAGGACCACAGCTGTGACCACAGCTGTGGTGGCCTAGCACAGATGTTACATTTTACTCTTGTGAGTGGTCAGGAAAGCCATGCTGTATGGTGGAGTGAGGGTCTAGAGATCAGGCCCCTCCCCACAGCCTCCAGGGGACCTTGGACAAGACTCTTAACCTTCTCTGTACATTATTCCTATTCAAACACTGATAAAATGGGAGTAAAAAATCACAACCTTCTGAATTGAAAGGGACCTTCCCATACAATCTACAATCGGGCATATTTAGTAGGAGAGACAGTTGAGGCTTAGACAAGGTGAAATGAAGCTCCAAAGACAAATGAGGGGTGGCCCTGTCTTGACTCCCAATGTAATGCTCCCCTTCACATAGTTGCTACCTGGTGGCTTGAGAGTTTGGGAGCATTCATGAACTATTACATCTGAGGTACTTTTGGCTGGACCGCCTATATCATAGACAAATCCATTTTTATTAGCATCATTCAAGGGTTCATAGCATAAAGGCAGCAAGAAATGGTAGTGGAAATGTGCTGTCTTCCCCCTAAGCCAGTTTTAATTTCTTAACTCCCTCCTGCCCCTTGGTTCCTTTAAGTATTTTCCTGCCCTGACCTGATATTCATTCACTTGGTATTTATTCCACATGTACTAGGCTTTGTGTATTACAGGGACTTCATAGACAAGACACGCAAAGTTGAAAAGTTGGATAAACAATACAAGAAAAAACGAAAGTGAACAAAAATACAAAGCACTGTATAACTAAATGTCAAATGAGAAATCTATACCTGTGGTTCCCAAATGCTAATTGATGGATTTGTACCTGTTGATGATAACATTTTCATCAGTTTTCTGTGAAATGAGAAAAATAGGGCAAGGTATGATTATTTCATAAGGCTAAATTTATTTAATAGGATTTTCTGAGATTATATCCTTCCAACATTTTAGTGCTAAAATGCCCTTTCTTTTATGAAATGTTGGAGCATAAATAGTGGTGGCTGAAAGCCTATACTTAAAAAAATAGAAAGTTGACCACATTATATTGGTTTCTTTTGAAATTTTGCTCATCCTTGAAATCTACAGCTAAGACAACCACTGGTGGGCACAAAAGTCCAGAGTGAAGGGGAGGAGCAATTTTTGAGGAGTGGAGTGCTCAGGGAAAGCTCCAAGAACAAGGACAAACATTGATAAGAAATTGAAGGATGAGAGGATTCAATAATGTGGAGAGGTTTGGGGAGGCTTCCTCTTGAGGGGATAATGTGAGAAAAGCCTTGGGAGCAAGCACGGAGGGTCTATTTAGGGAAGTAGTGAGAAAAGTTTGGATGCCTTGTCTTTTTACCCGCTGTGCTCATAAAAAATTCACGCAGTTGTTACCACAATAAAAGCTGACCTCTGCCTCCTTTCAATTAACCAGGTCACTGTCCTGAACTACTTGCCCCAGTCACTGAATCAATGCCCCAGTTCACCTTGTATTCCAGAACTTGTCTTCCATCTGCTCAAGGCAAGGTCAAAGATAGGCATGCAAGAGCATCCGGTACTCAGTAACTCAGCTCCAGTTCTGACTTCTTTTTTTTCATCCTTGACCATAATTTAGACTCATTAATGGGTTAGATGGTCTTTACTCATTCAAGCCTTGTTTCTGGGCCGTACGCCCTAGACCATGCCCTTGAATGTGGCCCCAGCTCTGTGAGGAGGACCCATGAGTAGCGCTGTGACAGATGCATCACATAGGGTACTTAGGGAATGGAGGAAGGCTCAACAGGATGCATTTACTGGGTGGAGAGGGAGGAACTGGTGGCCTAAGCCTGTGGGACTGAGGTTCGGATGGTTACCATTGACTAAAATGGGAAGAGAGCCTGTTTGGAGGAGAAGAATTTGGTTCCAGGGAAGTCGAGTCCAGGAATGGGAAGGAAGAACTGGTAAGAAATTGGAGGGAGGTGAAGGGAGGATGGAGGAGAAGGACCAGGTCCATTTGGAGTCATGGTCAAGGATTTCTGGAGAGAGACTACATCATTGCTGCAGGTACCAGTGAGTGAGGAGGAAACTGAAAAGAGTTCAGCCTCACAGGAAGGCTGGAAATTAGTGCAGGAGGGATGAGCAGGTGAGCAGGAGGCTGGGGAGGTCACAGAGGACAAGATGAGAGAATCCATTAACCTAGAGAGCATAAGTTTGTGTCTGTAGGGGGTGCTCATGCGTTCTGGACTAGGAGGAGTTGTGTTTCACTATGGGTGAAGAGCCTGAGGGTGAGGAGAGGCTGTGCCTGTTCTGCAAGCCTCCATGTGATTTGAGGTATTCCCTTGGCACATACTCAGACACCCACCTCCTTTGCTTGGTGTCTTCAGATCTTTCCATACCTCCTCCTCCTCCTCAGGGGGAAGAAGTCCTTGCTTCCAGTAACTGACTGGCTACAAGCATGGAGAGGGTTGGGGCCAAGGAAGCCATCTTTCTTTATGCCTCCCTCTGGGGCTGCTAAGAGCAGTAGATCTATTTGAGCTTATTTATGTGCCTGGAGTTGAGAGCTCATATTTTGCTTATTCAACCAGCTTCCCACGCTGCCAGGAAGGCACTAAGCAGCAGAAATTCATGTTCACCCTCTCTTCTGTCTCCCTCTCTCTCTCACTCTCTCTTTGGTATTCTTCAACTCCAACGGGAGCTAATATTTACCTGCAGTGTTAGCTGTGGGGCCGTGGGATGTGGCAGCTGGAGGTGGAGAAGACTTTTTTCTCCCTTCCTCCTCCACCTGTCTTTCCCTAGAGATTTGAAAAGGGAAAAATTGTAATTTTAATCTTTAAGACTGCCTGTTTGAGATTTCAGATGTTGCTGAGAAAAGTCAAGGGGTCTTGTGCTCACTTTTCTACTGAAAGATAAGTGTCTTAGTCTGTGGGCCTCTATAATAAAGTACCACAAAGCAGGTGGCTTGTAACAACAGAAATTTATTTATTTTTTTATAGTTCTGGAGGCTGGGAAGTCCAAGATCAAGGTACTGGTAGATTCGGTGTCTGACAAGCGCCCTCTGCCTGATGGATACTTTTCTTTCCACTGTAACCTTACATGGTGTAAGGGGCAAAGGATCTCTTTGGGGCCTCTTTTAAAAGGGCACTAGTCTCATTCATGGGGGCTCCACCCTTATGACCTAATCACTTCCCAAAGGTCCCACCTCCTAATACCATCCCCATAGCGGGTTAGGATTCAACGTATGAATTTGGGGGAAAAATAAACATACAGTTCATCAAAACAAGGAGGAAGATGAGATTGGTGGGCTTTTAGGACATGCTGTAGAGAAGGAAGAAAATGTCAGCCAAGGAATACTGTCATACTGTTCCTTACAAATGGAGTGACTCCAGCGTTGGAGACAAGAGGGCATGGATGACAGAGTCTGAAGCATTACTGTGACTGGTCTTACTTGGTGCCGGTCAGCTTGGACAACTTCTGCAGGGGGAGCCTAGCAGATTTCATGTGCTAGGCACAATAAGCAGGGCTGGCAGCCATAGCTTTTCCCTACCTGCAGGGAATGTGCATAGGGGCAAGTTCCCTCTGAGCCCACTGCCTGGTGCTGACTCAGCCCAAGTGCTTACCTGCTCACAGTCAGGAGTTGAACATACAGATGAAGTTGAACAAATGTCTGAGGCCAGGAATAGGAGAAATGTCTCAGCTCAATGTGGTTTGCACATGACAAAAAGAATAACTGGTGATTTTCTAAGACCTTGGTACGTTCCCACTATGGGACAGGATCCTTGCTCCCCAGGATGTTGGGGGAAGGGACAGGTGGGAGATGGGGCAGGGACGGAAAGGAGAACCTCGAGGCTGGGAGTGGGTGAGGATGTCGGCCCGCATGGATTCCGCACGACGTCTAAGTCCATCTGTGTGTGAGCCAGCTCCCATAGCGGCTAGAGGCTCCTCCACTTCTCTAGTGCCTTTTCCTGCCTTTCTAGCAGTTTTCCAGAAAGTCTGTTCTTGTTCTTCAAACTGCTCTTTTACGCTGTGTGTCATGATTTCTCATGCCCCAGTTTGTCCTCTTGTTGCCATAGTAGCTGGCTAGGGGTCGTCTCCAGTTGGCTGGGGATGTCTTGCTGGCAGGCTACGGAGGCAGAAGACATGGGTGACTTCAGGCTTGTGCTTCGGGGACTCCTGGCATTACAGACCACCTCCTGGCCCCCCATTCCCACCCCTCTGCATTTCCCACAATTTCCTATGCTCACCAAAAGGCAAAAACAGAGGAGGAAACAAGTGTAACATTTGCCTTTGTTACGGCCATTTCAGAAACAACCTGGCAAGGCATAGACTGCCTCTTTCAAGATTGAGCTATGGCAGAACTAAGATGGGACCCTTGTCTGGGGAAGAACCGCAAGGGAACACTTGTCCCATCAACACTTAGAAAGAGAAAAGAAGGCAGCAGTGAGCCAGGATTTAGTTGTGAAAAGTCACTTTTAAGAAACACGAAGATATACTGAAGGCCCTTGACACCTATGAGCTAAGCATCTGGCAGCTGGGACTCTCCATGCCTATGAATATAGAAACTTTTGTATGGGCCCTTGACTTCACTTTTGTGAAGTTTCCTGTGTTTTGGGCACACTGCATTATTGTTTCCCTTTCTATCTTTCACTTTGGTTTGTATCACATTTGATGACTACTTTTCACAAGATACATTTTAAATCATTTATTTATCCATCCATCCATCCATCCATCCATCCATCCATCCATCCATCCATCCATCCATTTATTCAACAAATATTCAAGAAATAACCATTGATTACCTACTATATATTATGTACTGTTCCAACTATGGGGAGATAGCAGTGAACTATATTGACAGTCTCTGCTCTCAAGGAGCTTACATTCATCTGAGATAGATCAATAACAAATAAAGAAAATACAGGATAGTGAAGAGTGGAAGATTAACCTGGGGTGATGTCACAGAGTGTGACTGGGTGGATGGTCCAGGAAGGCTCTGCAAAGGTAGCATGTGAGCTGAGATCTGAGATCCAGGAAGCAACTGCTATGGGAGGATGGGGAAGAACACTCCCAGTACAGAGAACAACTAGCTTAATGCCCTAAGGCAGAAGCAAGATTGGTGTGTTTGAGAAACCTCAAGGAGGCCAGTTGAGATAAGTGAGCAGGTGAGCACTTGGGCTGAGTCAGTACCAGGCAGCAGGCTCTGAGGGAACTTGCCCTTTACACACATTCAGGTAGGGAGAAGCTATGGCTCCCAGCCTTGCTCGTTGTTGTGTCTAGCACATGAACTCTGTGAGGCTTCCTCTGTAGAAGTTGCCCATGCTGGCCAGTACCAAATAAACCAGTCATAGTAATGCCTCAGACTCCATCATCCATGCCCTCTTGTCCCCAACACTGGAGCTACTCCACCTGTGACTGGAGTGATGGGGAAGGAGGTGGAAGATACAGTCAGGGGGTTAGTGTGCCAGACACCTCACCTGAACCATGTCACAGCCTTGTGGCCTCACCTGTTTCTGAAACTTTTGGCTGCTTGTTCAGGCTCCAGTTGTCACTGCAGTAACTGACCAACTCCATGCATGTAAAACCCAACAGCACTTCACCTCATGAAGGTGTACCTCCCACCTCTTACCCTGGAGCTTCCCTATTGACACCCACTCATGAGATGCACAGGACTCTCCTGGGCAACTGGAAGGTGAAGAGGAAGTTAACTCCCTGAGTGATGAACATTTTATCAGTGAGATTGAGCAGATGAATTCTTCTCTGTCTTCTGATGGACTGTCCTGAGGCACAGCTGTCTTTTACCAATGGCCAGCTAGATCATGCACCATCATATTAGCTCTTCCTCCTTGCCTGCCTTACTTCCCTTTCCCCTCACTCCTGCTTCCTTGCATTTGCATACCTTAATAAAGGCATCTGAACCCTTGCCTCAGGCTCTGCTTTCTGGGGGAACCCAGACTTAGACGGAGAGGTAGGCACCAGCTGATATAGGGCCTGGTAGGACATGATAAGGAATTTACATTTCATTTTGAGAATTAGGGGAGGTCATTAGAGAATACTGAACTGGGGAATGATATGGTCTGATAGACTTTTTAAAAAGCTGACTCTGGTTGCAGTTTGGAGAACAGATTGAAGGAAGGTAGGATGAGCAGTGCGCAGGCTACTATCACAGTTCAGGGGAGAGATGGATGATGGCATGAACCAGAGTGGGAGGAGTGGTGGTCATTTTGCACAGCAGCTGATATGGTTGAAATTCAAATTCAAATATGTGGTTCAGCAAGACAACAAATTACAACCTACCAAGGACCTTCATCACCTATTGAACATAGAGAGACTTCAGTTGGGGAGAACTGAAGACCTTAACAGAGACCTCAGGACATTGTTATTCAAACCGATCCATGGAGTTCCTTCAGGAGGAAGGATATTGTGTTCAGTTCCTAGTTGAATCAGAGTAACTCTCTGCCTTCATCTGTTTAATTCATTTACCCTTAGAGTAGTATTTCTTTTGCAGAAAGGGATGCATGGCTAAAAATGTAGTACTGCTTCCATTAATGAAAATTAATTTAGCTTAATGAGTCTGAATCTTGGATTCTGCCAGCCCTGAGTTTGAATTCTAGTTTGACCCATTTCTAGGTATGTGGCCTCAGTCTAAGTCTCTCATCTGCAATATGGGAATCAATAACACTAACTTCCTGGAGTTGTGGGAGTTAAATGATTTGGGTGTATAAAATACCTGATACATGCTCTTTATACCCTCTTCACTTCACTCATAATAAATACATCCTGTAGGAAGTTGAAGTACGGTGGGGATTGAATTGAGGTGGGTTCAACCTTAGCCCTCACCTGGTAGACTTCTTTCCAGGGTTTAACCTGGAGATACTGGAGTTTATGCCATTAAGGGAGGTAACAGATCATTACAAAACATTCCTTTGGAGTTATTCAGGAGACTACAACTGAGCCCTCTCTTTTGAGAAGGTCAAAACAGTATCCATTTATGAATGACTATGATAGTACCCCCGTGAGATGGTTTAAAAGAAGTGTTGGGCCAGGCACGGTGGCTCATGCCTGTAATCCCAGCACATTGGGAGGCTGAGGTAGGTGGATCATGAGGTCAAGATATCAAGACCATCCTGGCTAACACGATGAAACCCCATCTCTACTAAAAATACAAAAAATTAGCCAGGTGTGGTGGTGAGCGCCTATAGTCCCAGCTACTCAGGAGGCTGAGGCAGGAGAATGGCATGAACCTGGGAGGCGGAGCTTGCAGTGAGCCGAGATTGCGCCATTGCACTCCAGCCTGGGCAACAGAGCAAGACTCATCTCAAAAAAAAAAAAAAAAAAAGTGTTGTTCAATCAATTTTATAGATGAAAGGTTCTAATACTTCAGGCAGTTGTGCCTTCCCTCTGCAATCAAATTCTGGGGCGTTTTTCCCCTTAAAGCTGTCTTCTTCACTTGCTCAACTAAAAATAATACCAGCTCTTGCAGAATAAATCATCAGTCTCTGAGGGTGGCTGATGTGAACAACTCATATGAATCTCAGGCCCATCTTAGATTTATTTTTTTTTGGGAAATTACAAAAGTATTTTACATTTGTTATAGAAAATATGGAAAAGCATAAGGAAGAAAATGAAAATTATCCATAATGCCATCATGTACAACTGATCATTAATAATGGATAAATATCCTTCTAGGCTTTTTTCCCCTATACACATACCTGTATGTACATTCACATACATACATATACCCACATACAGCTTATTATACTAATGAGGATTATAGTGTGCACATCTTGCTTTTGTAACCAGCTTTACTGATTAATAATATAATATGAACAGTGTCCTGTGTCATTAAATATAATTTTACCATGTGATTTTGAATAATTGCAAGAATTCTCTTATGTGATTCTTATGATTTGCTAACAAGTTCCTTATTGTTGTTCATGTAGTACAATACAAAAAGATTGTAGTTTTTAATATTCAAATGAACAATCCAATGACCAGTTTTATAAATGCATCTTTGTGTGCAAGTCTAATGATCTCATAAGGAGAAATTTCTAGGGTTAGAATTATGGGGGCATAGGCTGTGCACATATTTATGACTCTTGAGAAGTACTGCCCTATCTCCCTGAGGAAAGGTTGTGCTAATTCCAACCTCACCCATAGTGAATGAGATTGCGCTCATCTTTGCCAACTCTGGGTATTTCAATTAGTAAGGAATGTCTTGAACTTCTCCTAAACACTTAGTTTAATTATGATATATTTCAAACACTTGTATAGAAAACAAGAGACACTCATGTACCTACTACCAAGATTAAATACATAATAATATTTGCCATATTTGCTTCATCCCTCTCCCATTTTCAAATACATTACAGATGCATTTTGTATGCTCATTCTTTGTTCCTTGCTCCAGAAGTCGTCACTCCTCTGAAATTGGTATTTCATTACCATGTGCATTTTTGTAATTTTACTACATATGCATTTATGGAAAAGTATGTATATCAATTTTTTGAGTTTTAAAGTTTTATTTATGTGATACATAGAATGTGTCCTTTTGCAGCAAAATTAACATTTTTGTTTTTAAGATTTACCAGTATTGGCTGGGTGCGGTGGCTCATGCCTGTAATCCCAGCACTTTGGGAGGCCAAGGCGGGCGGATCACAAGGTCAGGAGATGGAGGTCATCCTGGCTAACATGGTGAAACCCCGTCTCTACTAAAACTACAAAAACTTAGCTGGGTGTGGTGGTGGGCACCTGTAGTCCCAGCTACTCAGGAGGCTGAGGCAGGAGAATGGCTTGAACCCAGGAGGTGGAGCTTGCAGTGAGCCGAGATTGCGCCACTGCACTCCAGCCTGGGCGACAGGGCGAGACTCCCTAAAAAAAAAGATTTACCAGTATTATTACATGCATACTGAGTTCATTATTTCACTTTTGGCGTAGAATTCCATTGTATAAATAAATCACAGGTTCTTAATTCACTCCCTTTCTGAGGGGAGGCTAGGTTGCTATAATTTTTTATCATTACAGATAATATTAAAATGATCATCCTTGTCCATGTCTCTTAGGTGCATGTGTGAGATTTTCTCTGGGAAAGATACCTAAAAGTGGAATTGCTGAGTTTAGGAATGT